TGGCTGAGGGATAATTTATACAAAGTGCAGTGAAAGCATACCTATCCTAGCAGTGCTTGTTTTTTTAAGACATTTGTAGTGGGGTGAGATGCTTCCAGTGAAACACCCAGATGAACGCATGTCATTTGTTCCGTGTCACCTGAGGCTCTCAAGCAAGAAATTTGCATTAATATTTGGTAGGAATTACAAGTAAGTCAGGACCAAGATTGGCCATTACCCCACGTCCTCTGAGCCCGGGAGGAAAGTTTTCCTTACTTTGGCTGCCTTGAGATAAATCCATGGTAGGGGGGATGCTCTGCCAGAGGAGGTACCTGGGAAGGATGAGGCCTTGGAGACAATCTGTAAGAATTAAATAAGAAGGATGTCTAGGTCAAAAATTTGTATTTTTGTCACTGTTATTTTTACGTATAAAAACAAGTCCTGGCACAAGTTGGGTGAATAATTTTAATCTGAAGATTCTTAACAGTTGAGTTGATTGATTCTCCAGTGTTAATTACTTCTGCTTTGTGTTGGATCATAAGAATCACAAGGATTTCTTTACATCCCAAAGTGGATTACCAATGCATAAAACTGGAGAATGACCAGTTGTTGATAGTAAATAATGGGGAAAGTTCATGAGTCAAATTTATTAAATCTGTAGAACTTTTCTCTGAGTTTCCTCAAATATCATCCACTTTTCCCAAATAAGAAATGACATGATCTGCATGAGCACAAAAAAACAAAGTCAACATTTATCTACACGGAAACATCTGCAAATCAAGACCTGGTGGAATGTTTGTTCAGCACTGGAAGTGTATTAGCTCTTCTTCCAGAAATAATAAAATCAAAACGTTTATCCTCTGTGTGATCATTTTGATACTTTATAAAGTAAAAGAACTCGAGTCAGGAAAGCACTGCAAAGTGTTTACAAAAGCAAGGGGCTTGGTCTTGTCAGATGGAAGTCGATGGCAAAATGCCAGTAGAGTTAAATACTAAAGAAAACAGCCACTGGAGCAATGAGGTGTAATCTTCCTTAATCTATAGTATCAGCTGTTGGCAGATACATACAGAGTGATAATAGGATGCAAAAAAATTTTAACAAAGCAAAAGGGACTTGGAGACTGATCTGAAAATTTCTCTGTCACATTTATAAATCCACCAGTGGTACCATCACTACAAAGTATGATAAAACATATGTTTTCTCTACCAGCTTGCTGGCAGGTCTAATCTAAAGTGTCATCAGACTATGGGAATTGGCTACTGGAAATGAAACTCCTGTTCTGTTCTTCTCTGTTCCTTCTCAGAGATGAGAAGCCCCACTGGGATCTGGCCATCTCACATGTTCCACAAACCTCCTTCAGACACGAGATCCTTCCAGCTGGAGCTTCTACTCCAAACATTTGTCTGGGAGGGATTTATTTGTTTATTTATTGTTAACAAGAAATTAAAGGAGAATGGGGGATGAACAATACATTTCCTGCATTTTGCAACAGCTGCACCTTTAGCTAAAAGCAATGGTCTTAAACAATGCAGTGCAGGGGGGCTGGTCCACAGCCCCTTCTGGGTGTCCAGGCACAGCCCCAGCTCCCATGCCAGGCTGGTCACACAACAGACTTGCATTAGAAGGTTAAGATATCACTTTATCTCTTTTCCTCTTTTAGGACAGATGGCAATAAACATCTGCATTGATAAGGGTATTTTTAGGGATGGGAAGCAGCTTAATTCTAGCGGCAGAAGATTTGTGTTTTCTTTGTGTTTTCTAAACAGGAGGGCAGTTGAATTTTGGCATGTCCATGAAGAATTGGGCTGGTGGAGCAGAAGCAGGGGGAACTGTCCAGACCCCAAGGTGCTCATCCCCAGCCAGGAGTTTGGGTGGTTGCCCCTGAGTGAGAAGGAACCACAGAGCTCCTCTGCTGGGACAGGACAGATGCAATCATGACACTACCAGAATGTTTACAGTACCATCACTCCACTGTGTCCATGGCAAAATAAGGAGATATCCAGGCTTTTGCTGTCTGATGTGCCATCAGCTTGGCATGTAGCAGAGTGACCATGCCCTGGCCCACAGATGTCTTTGGAGACTTAACCAGAACTCTCAACATCTAGCAAGATTTAAATTTCTGTTGATATTTAAGTACAGGAGTGGCGTGACTGCAAGGAGCAATGGTCAATAACAAAGATATTTTAGACTTAATTAGACATTCATTCTCAGTCTGAAGGATATGACCTTCCAAAAAAAGGTAGTTTGAAAAGCAGGGTAATAAACACCTTCTTAGAGTTATGACCAGAAGGTTATTATTCCTGTGAAGGCCTCTGCAAGCTCCAGAAAGGTGAGCACGATCCTACCACCAGTACATGGAGGCACTACAGCATCATCAGGGAGCTTCATCAGGATGCTGCCATCTCTGATGATACAGAGCCTGTGGAGATAGATCATATTTTGGGTCATCTGGACTAACTCCATCAAAAGACAAAAGACCCTGCACATTGAGCTGGTAGTTACTCCTGTCCTTCCCATCATAAAGCTCTTTGAGAACAGTCTGTTCCTTAGGAAACCCAAATTCTGTGCCTAGCAAGGACTATCTGGGAGTATTTCCAGGGACACATGGTTTCAGTCAGCTAGAAGACTACTTTCTCGACATAAACATGCCCCAGTTTTCCTAGATACAACATTGTGGCAACCTCTCTTCCTCATCTAGATCTTGCCTCAGGTTTCTGCACCCAAGGGACCTCCAGAACTAGCATCCTAAATCTAAAGACTGCAGGGCAAGCCTTGGTATCTCAATGAAAACTATTAATATCAGTATGATACAGCTCCTGACTAGTGGAGATCTCACCTTACAGCCATGCATTTATTTGGTGTATTTATTTATGAAGAATGCATGGGGTACTCAAAGATTTGCTATATCAGATTTGTTTGGGCAAATATTGAAAGGAGAGGTAAAAAAGTTCAGCCTCTGTATTTTTATCCTTTGCCCCCTGATTGACATTAGGTTTAATCTTTTCAATATATGGTCTACTATTTTACTGAGCTTGTCTTTTAATGGGATTATTCAGAAATCAGCTATTAGATCTTGCAGTTTCTATGCCACCTTCATTCCCCTGGCGATGCTCATGGGTAGAGAAGCCTTAACATTCACTTCAAAGTCAGCCCCCAAGACTTCATATAGGCCCAGTAAAACTAAAATTATCCATCCTTGATGCTACAAAGAGCTGCTCTCTGTAGCTCCTTTTTAGGGGACTGTAACACATAATCAGAGCTCTGCATTGAAATGGGCATATTACTAACTGGAAATAAGGATAAAATCTGCAACTGCTCCACATGAAACAATGCAGTTTGGGCTTTGCAGGCCTTAATTCTACTGCAGAGTACACAGGGCAGCTTACTACATGGTTATCCACAAAAGCATTTGCTTTGGGCTGGAACAACCTGTAGTGCTGAGTGGCACAGCTCCCTCTGGGAGACATGGACCAGCTCCTCACTAACTGCAGCAGAGTAGGGCTCATCCTGGCCTGAGCTCAGCAGGGTTAATCTGGTTCAAAGCTAAAGCAGAAGCAACCTCCTACTCCTGACATCCCCTTCCTTGTGTTTTCCTCCCCGGTTAGCTGGGACTCCTGGTTTGTTGTCTGCAGACCTGGCCTTGAGAGGCAGCCAAGCTGCAGCACTTCAGCCATCAAGTGGCATAAAAAAACCAACCCAAAAGCAGATTTCATGCATCTCCTGTGTCATCTGTGTTGTGCAATCACGACTTTTTTTATAAACCAGACCCCAATATCAGAGTCAGAGCCCGTGATTCTGCAGGAGAAAAAAGCGTGGTCCCCAGCAGCTGGGATCAGGATGCGATGAGCCAGCAAGGAAAGCTGGATGCATTTGTCAGCCTGACGACTTGCTGCTTCTTCAGCTCAGCATCTCCAGCGTTTTGGGAGGAGGATTTATTCCGCTGGCTGCTGCAGCCCTCTCGTGGCCACACAGACGCAGCCGCGCTCCTGCTGCTGGGAAAGCACAGCCCGAAATTCCGTGTGGGAGGAGAGCGTCTTGTAAAAAGCACAACAAATAGTTATTAAATAGCATGTTCGCCGAAGAATAAATATATAAATAAATGGAACAGACACTTCGGATGCTATTTATTCCAGGGGTACAAGCAGAGTCGTTGATAAATTACTTGCTTTTGAAGAATCAAAAGAAAAAATACAGATAAAGCACTAAGCAGCCGTGTTTTTAATGGGGTGTCCTATTTCATCTCTCCAGGCTGTCACTAAACAGTCTGCTTTGAAGTGCTCCTTTTCTTCTGAGCATTTGCACATTGATTTACAATGGTGTGGGTAAATATTGTGCTCGCAGATGGGTTTTGCTGAGAATCTGCTTATTGGAAATGTGTCTGCCTGGTCAGGAAACTCCAAGGAGGGATGAAAAACCTCTTGGGTTGGGGAAGATCTGGGGGAATTTGGACTGTGCCAAATTCCTGCAAAGATTAACAGACAGATTGTTCTTTGGAGCTTGAAAAGCAAGCCTGGTTTGGGGTACATTTTGTTTTTCCTTTCCAGATAGAAACCGGAGACATCACTATCGCTTGGGAATAAACCCCAGGACTCCATAGTGGAAGGAGACCATGAATGGGAGCAGTGTTGAGACCCTGCCCAACAGCCCAGCTGTACACTCCCTGCCCAGTGCTGGGAGCCAGCACAAGCAAAGGAGATGCCTATAGAACAAACAATAGAATGGATCAAAGGGAAAAGCTTGTGCACAGGTATGGTGCACAGGTATTCCTCTGGAGGAGGTTGTCTAGTTTGGATCGATGTTTCTTGAAATAACAGCAACAGTACCTACAGACCAGGGTGCTGCAGTACTGCCAGAGAGACATTATTCTACTGTTTTCCCACTACTTTTCTCTTTTTTTCCCTTACAAGAGTTTCAGGAGAAATGGTTGCCCTTCAAAAAGATGTGATAAAAACCAAACCAAACCTAAAAAACATACCCCAAAAAAACAAAGGACAGAATGGGGCTACAGTGACTCCATGGGCTCATTACCTTTTCAGACGGTGCGATGCTACTCCTGGCAGTAACTGTGTCTGGGCAGATGGCCAGTGAATGGGGGGGGATAGGTTTAGCAGCACCAGCAGGGCTCTGGTTGACAATGACATCTGATGTTTTGCAAGCCAGTGTGCTGACCCATGTGTTTATGATGCTGGAACAAGCCACTTGATCCATACCAGACATCAAGGCGGCAGCGGTACCTGAGCCCCTTCAGGTGCACACAGGTGTGTGCTATCCAGCTTAAGCATGGAAAAATCAGTTCGTAGAGATGGGCTCTGTGCCTGCAGGTATTTTCCATCTAAGCTGGTGTTTCCTGCCCTGAAACCTCTTTGCTGTGAGGCTGGTGTGGCTGCAGGCAGCTTTTCCCTGTGTGGTCAGTCCAAGGTCTGCACTGCTCTAAGGCACTAAATACAGAGCCAAACTTGGCAGGCATCCTGTGCAGCACCTGCCTTTGGAGCTGGCTGCCCTGGCAGCACCTCCTTCAGCCCCCCGAAGAGCTCAGGACCCTGTGGTAATAGTCTTATCTCACCTATATTAACATCTTAACCACACACACCATATTTGAGTACTGTAGGTGCTGTTTTGCTGTGCTGTAGCAATGACAGACAAGCTGCCTCCTGGGGCTGCAGCACAAGGACAAGCTGCAGCTCACTCACAGCTCTTCCACATCCCCAGGTTCATCTTTCTCACTTACAAGAAATCCTTAATGCTCCCATAAAATGGTATTTTGCATATTTTTTGTTTTTAACTAAATAACCTCTTTGCTCTTCATTTTCTGTAAGCTCATGTGCAGAAAAAGATGTGACTTTTTTGGTTTAGGATTGCTTTTATTTTATATGGAGACAAACTGTAGTAAGAAAGTAACAAAATTAATATCTGCCTGAAAGAGTATGTGGCAAGGATCATCCTGGGATCCAAAATATTCTCCAAATAAAAAGGCTGATAAATTTTTAAGACATGTCCATATTGCAAGATGCTGAGAGGCTTGGGGTAGTAAATACCTACATTGACAAAACGATGTGAAATACCCTAATGCAGAGCAACTTACAGCTCAGGTCTGGGTGCAAAGCAGCTGGGATATCTTGCTGGTTTTGTCCAGCACAAATGGAAGCATTGGGTCTGTACATGGCCAGCACAAGGCCTGTAGCCTCCTCCTGGCTGCAAAGCAGCCCCTGGTCATGCAGACCCGTCTTTAGGTGTGCAAACATGCTGGCTGCATAGAAAAGTGGAAGTCCCAGTGTTGAAAGCACAGACAGGATGTTTACTGTTAAGAAACAAGTCCATGTAGGCTTTTAGTGAGATGGAGCTCTTTACTTTCTGGAAAATATTCTCCTAGGGATGGACTAAGTAGCCAGGGTGTAATCTTGGACCTGATGACGTTATCAGGACAAGGAGCTCGTCCCAGCGTGGCGGGCAGCTCTGCTGACACTGGCTGGCAGTGGTAGGCTGCAGCTGAGCCCCACTTTCTTGCCTTCTTGCCTGCGAGTCACCTTCTTTCTATGCTACACTTTCCTGTGACTGCATCCCCATCCTGTGACCCCCATCCCCACCCCAGCTTGCCCTCTGCAGTCAGTCCGGCTTTAGGACTCCACCACGATCATGCTCAGGTTGTTGCTGAAGATGATCCTGCCGTCCTTGGTGCTGCTGCACTCGGGCTGGCACAGAGCCTCCCGCAGCCGCTGCCGCAGCGCCGGCGGCGCCGTGCCCAGGAAGTCTTTTGTCCCCGTCAGGAAATCCATCATGAGGCTGCCAACTGCGTCCCCCTCGACGAAGCACTCGGTGATATCCCATCCCGACGGGAACTCGTACACGCGGTATTCGACTCCGAGTCTCTTCAGGACATCCGTGATGCCGCTGGAGGTGATGTAGTGGCCGCTGTCGGTGGAAGGCAGGCAGTCCCTGTATTTCTTCCATAAGCTGGCCCACCCGCTGCTGTCTGCCAGGGCGGGAGGGGAGGTTACTTTTGCAAAGCCAAGGCACTCAAACACCAGCTAATGCACCTGCAAAATGAGCTGGAAATGCTCCCCAGGCCGTGCCAGGACTAGGAGGAGTGCTTTCCCCTTACTTGAGTCTGCTTATAAAAGTCCGTGCCTAAAGAGGGGTAAAACTCTGTTTTCTCTCAGCTCTCCCTCCAAAACTCTGCTGTTTAAAGGAAACTCCTAGGTGATGGTCTCCAGCACTGGGATTGCCCAGAAGGAGGGATACATGCAGAAGTACCAACATGCTGACCCTGAACATCCACACTACCTGTTAACTGTCTCTTGGCTAGAATAGTGCAGATGTTTTTATACATCAAACTTCAATTTTAAGTACACATCAAAGAATATATACCTAGAAAAATAGCCCCAAAGAGCAAGGGAAACAGCCTACAGACAATGTGAGAGAGAGTTTTAATGGCAAACATGGGAAAGTATGCTTTGTCCACCCCACCATGAGCCCAGGATTTATGAATGATACAAGGGATAAAGCACTCTGTTGTTTTTAATGAATGCCACCATGTTATAAGTGCCTCTTTTTCCTGTCCTACCATAAAGCCTGCAGCTCTTGGCAGCATCTGTTGTCCTGCTGGGGTCTGGACCACCACCGTGCAGAGATAAGAGCACCAAAACTGGGCCCACCCAGAGCTCTGGTTGTGTTTTGACAGTACTGATTTCGCCAGGAAGAAGGATTGACTCCCATTCATAAACATCCACACTTCCGTCTACTAAATCTTCATAAGCAGGGAAGCAAGAACACAAAATCTGTGCCTTAGACATTGTGATCCAAGAGACTAAGCCCAAGATTGCATGCTCCATATGAAATCCAGCACTAGTTTTAGTTATCTACTACAAAATAAGTGTTACTGAAATCCCCAGGTAAACATTTGTGGCTCTCAAATTCAAAGTTCTTCAAAACTCCAGATATGAAGCAAAAAAAAAGAAAGGTCCCACTTACCCGATAAAATTATGATCAGGAGTTTACCATGAAGGTCGAGGCAGCTGTGGAAAAACTTGATAGTATTGGGAATATCCTCCACACGGTACAGCATCTAGAAGAGACAGTTACACATAGCCATTATTCCTCCTCCACAGTGCAATGACCCTCCAAATCCTTAAACCCTTTCTATAGAGTTGTTTTTATTGTGTACCAGTTGCTTCCCAACCTGTCCTGACTCAGCACACACATTTAGGGACACCTCACAGGACTGGGCATCGTCAGCTTTGGTGTTTGTGGAGCCCCTGCAGAAGTTATTGCTCACAGGAGAGCTATGCTAAGCCCTGATCATCCTAACTTCATGCATACATCAGAAACTAAGGGGGGAGTGAAAGTTAATACTCCTATGTCAAAGCAATGCCCATTACCTGGATCATATGGATGAAGTCAAATTTCTTATGCGTGCCTTTCTCTTTCACCTGCTGTTGGTACTCTGAGGAAGTGAGCTGGTGCCAAATAAAAGAGACATTCTGCAGGTCTGGAGTTTGATTCACCAACTCTGTTTTTAAAAGTAGAAAAAAACATGAATTTCATAAAACAGGAGATGGATGGTCCTCACTGTACCCCAGGCAGCAGGTACAGCCTTACCTTTGTAAGCTGCCACGTGCTGCGGGTTGGGCTCTACGATTTCGTTGTCAATAAGGACCCCTGGGTGCACAGCCTGTAGTATCCTGATCATTTTCAAATCCTGCTCACCTGTTCAATAAACACAAATTCATTGCTTTAAGAAGGAGGTAAATGTGATGAACGGGTGCCAGAGCATCTGCCACCACTACTGCCAGGAAATCCCCTGAGCAGGAGTGAGGCATATTTGACCTTGTGGCTTGCATGGTGGAATCTAACTGTGTGTGTATGTGCCCTGCAAAGTTAGCTATTGGTGCTCCTCTGTTGCAGTCTAAGCTCTGGAGAAGCAAGCAGCAGTCTGTCCTCCGGTGCTAGGAAATTTCCAGCTTTTTTTGACATCATGCAGGTCATTTTGCTTTTTTCCCAGAAATGCTGTGATATACCAAGCCTATAAAGTCCACCTAGTTCACCTGGAACTATGTAAATAAACAGCAGAGGTGGGCAGCATGTCAGGACTTCAGCAAGAATCCTGTCTCTAGCTGATGGTGGAACTTAAAAATAGTCCTGCCTGTGCAAATGTCACACTGAGAGGTCTTGATATGAGATACTGCATCCTCCCTAGCCTTTCAGCTGATGTATCAGGCATGAGAAAAGTCGTCATCTTTGGCAGGTGTTGCAATAAATAGAATTCAAGGAGGGAAATACTACCCATGCCAGCACTACAGGGACATCCAGGGCAGGAGGAGTCCTTTGAAATTGGAGAAAAAGTACCCAAGGCCCCTGAGGAATGAAGTGGCAGCAGTGCAGGGTTGGCACGAGGGAAGAGGCTGCGGCTGCATCAGCTGAAGGCAGATGCACAGACCAACATTGTTGTCAGGAAGGAAGATCCCCATAGCAAGCAGCTGAATCATTTTAGAAAGTCCTAAATTTCAGTTTTTAAGTGCCTGGGGTGGGGAGCATCAACCCTTAGAGGTGCTGCTGTGGGCTCCCTGCAAGCTCAGAGCAGGTGGGAGGCAAAGCATCGCTGCCCCATGCCCTAGAGCCACTGATGGTGGCAAATGAGTATACCAACAGCAAGTGGGTATCTTAAAAGCTGCTTGGGTTTGTTTTTTTTCACTCCATCTCTGCAAAATTCCTTAATCCAGTCTTTGCAAGAGCACGTAATAACGTCCTCAACCAGGCTGTCTGCAGAAAAGAAGCAGTAAAATATGATGCTCCAGAGCAGGGATTTCTCTGCTCCAGCTTGCCCTGCCAGCAACAACCCTTCAGCACTGACCACAGCAAGGCTGGGACAAGAATGAAACCCCTCTGGCAACCAGCAGCCCATGCTGCTGGAACTGGTCATGGGAAAACACAGGGTGAGTGAGAAAATGTGATCTGGACTGGGACACAGGTTTTTAGGATGTAGAGTTGGTCACTAATCCCCATTAATATTTTCATCAACTAAACTAATTCTGGGGGCTCTGTGAAACCCGAGTCCATGCCTGGAAAGGTCAGGGATCAGACATAACCTTTTGCTCAGTGCCATCCCAGCTCACTCCCTGCCCAGCCACAGACATTCAGCTCATGCAGCCGTGGGCAAGCTCAGGGGGTGTGGGTCTGTACCACTGTCTTGTCATCTGTGAGGGGCAGTCAGCCAAGAAAACAGCTGAAATTTTAGAGTTTTTACTTTTCCATTAAAACCTCTTCTGAAAAGGCATAAGGAAAATTAAGGATGGTGCTAAAACTTCATTTTCCCCTTGTGTTTTCTTGGAGTCAGGATTTCTGTTTTATATTACTTAATGAAAATAGAATGTAATTGAGAACTGAATTATTTCTTCCTGCTTGCTTTCTCATATGCTCCAACATATTCCCAGTTGAGGAAAACAATCCAATGCTAATTTTCACTTACTCAGGAAAACAAGGGGAAAAAAAGTGAGAAAAATACTTTCATTTGAAAGTATTAGCACTTAAAATTCAGCTGAAAATACTTTTCCGAGTAAAAGTAAACTCTGACAAATCTAACTGTCATTTCTTTTCTCTACTTTTTATTTTATCCCAGTTTCCCTAGGAGCAAAGTTAGCTGTTTCACCACTTTTTTGATTTTGGTTTTTTTTTTAAACACAAATACATTTAGAATTTTAGCTTTAAAGCTGTTTTTCCAAAGGATGGGTTTCTCTCTGGGGAAAAATATCATTTGCAGTTAAACTCTACTTTTCACTGGATAAAAACACAGCAGTAACAAAGAAACGTCTTGAAAAAGCTGATGCAACCCCATGCTAATGATTGTGGCCAGCTGGTTTTGCAGTACTGGGAGCAGGCCATTGCCCAGCCTTGGCCTCCAGGATCCCTAAAAGCAAAGCAAAAAGAGAGATCCCTTCAGGTGGGTTGGTCTAAGGCAGGACTTTGTGTGGAAAGAACCTCTCTGATGTCTCTCTGTCAATGTTTGAAGATGCTCTTATACCTGATCAGAAACAGGAGTCTTTGCTTTGAGGCATATAAAATCAGGTGAGAGTCTTCAAGAGGCAGAAACTAAGCTAAAATCACACACATCTCACTGCTCAGAAAGATCCGAGCAGCAACATTTCAGAAGGGAAGTGGGGAAGGAAGGGAGGGAGGGAGCCTTGTTCTCATCCCAGCTCCACTCTTCCTTCCGCCCTTCTCTGTTTCAGTGAGAAGCACTGTTGTTAATGCCTGAGTAGTTATCCTCATTGCCCAAAATTTCAGAATAACCTTCTGCTACCCACAGGGACCCCCATTCCCCAGCATCAGCAGTGCTGCCACACTCCTTACCTGTGCCACTTCCAACTCCCAGAACATTTATAGTCGATTTTCCATGGCCGAGACTGAAAGGATAAGTATGTGTTACTCAACCACACTATGTCACATGACTTTTTGTTTTCATTCTTGTTGCTTGGATGACACATTGGCCCAGAAATTTTCATGTTATGCATAAAAATTGGGATAGAAATTGGAGCATCCCTCTTGAGCCCTTCTATAACCAGCGTGGTGGGAGCCAGCCCAGTATTCGCAAGCTCATATTTCAAAGTGCAGTAGGTACCAGGGTGTAGTGTTTCTGCCCCTTTACCAGAGAGTTTCCTTCAGGCTGTGGCTGGCACTGTGCAAAAAAGCCTTGGGGATCCCCAGGGCAAAGGGCTCCCTTTGGGGGCAGCAGGGCTGTGCCTGGCTGGGGTGGGCACTGCTGAGAATGCAGGGACAAGGTGAGCTGGGGAGAACCTCTGCACCCTCAGGAGAAAATATTGGATATAAATACCCAGAGAAAGCAAAACCATCAAGCTATCCAGGTGACTGGAAATAACAGAATCACAGAATGTGCCGAGTTGGAAGGGACCCACCAATCATCTCTTATCAACATTAATCTTGGTTAAAAATTGGGAGGAATCTTCAATAACTTTTATCTTAGAAAAATTACTTTTTAAAGGACTCCAGTCATGTGGTTCATAGCAGAGTATTTAATAACTGCCTGGCTCAAGGATGAGGGGCCATGTTCTGACTTACTTTATAGCTTTATTCTGCTCTTGGGCATGGACTGTGTTGGGGAATCGAGTTTCCCATACACAGTCTCAGGAGACACCACAGCAAGGATTCCACAAGAGTGGAATGAGCAGCAAATCCCGAAGGGTGTGAGTAGCCAAGGAGCCTTAGACCTAATGAGGGTCAAGACCTTTGACAGACCCACAATCAGCATCATAGAAAGCCACAAGGTTTTGCATCATTTAAATTCACAATAAAAATTTCCCAATACAGTCTTTGAATTACTATAATTTTATTGCTTATTTTTTATATATATCTGATCCAGAGAATAAAAAATTCCTGCCCAAACTTTTTTCTCAATGGAGAATGCAGTTGCTGTAACATCCAAAAATTACCCAAACTTGAAAGGGCTTTCTTATGGTTTGGATCTAGGCTGTTCTGAAATTATCTTCAGTTATCCAGTCTTAATATATTACATCAATACTTCACAAAACTGATTATCATTTGGTACTTAAGCAATGCAAATCGACTTAGGATAGAAATAAGGAAGTCTTAAGGGATTGAGAAAACCAAGAATTAGTCACTAGAAGAGAATTAGAAATGTGTTTCTGTTTAGATGGTGTGTGATGAAGTCCCAAAAGCAGGAAGAGACCGCATGAGAGCTTTCTTTTGAAAAAAGCAAACAACCAAAAAACCCCAAATTTAATCCTTGGAAAATCAGCTAATGAAAGGAGATGGACATGAAAATGAGGTCTTGATTCTTTCCTTAACATAAGCTAAGAGGCAGCACAGTGTATTAATTGAAATAGCACATACTCTGGAGTCCTTTAGCAGAATATCCTGTAACTCACTATTAGAGGATTTAAAACTGAAAAGCATTAAAGTTCATTCCTGCCCAAAAAAACCCTTAAATGTGTTTGCTGACCCTTGTATGCAGGTTGCCCTCCCAGGATAACAGATGGCTTTCCCAGCTCGGTGGAAACAATCCTTACCCAGCCATGATGTTGGGCAGTTGTTCCTTGTTGAACTCATCCATGCACTGGTGCTCTGTTGAATGATCCAAAAATGTCTTAAAGGCCTCCACATACTCCTCAGCTGTGAGGCTTCTCATGGAAGGGATCGTATACAGCTCTTGAGAAACAAATATGGATTGCATGTTAGTGGTTTCAAGGCAAGTGAAGGGTCAAAGCACTTACCTTATGGAAGAAACCCAACCCAACCCAACAGGAGAGAGAGATTTGGGAAGACGATGCAGAGGATGCACTTTCCAACCGGTTTGCACTCAGAGTTTGAAAATTATTCTTGGATATCCTTTGACATCAGCATTTTTGTTAAGTGCCTCATCACTAGAGGTAAGCCCAAGGAAAATGTCTCCAAAATGCTTAGGCAGATATGAGGACTGGAGGGTTTTTTCTAGGAATGTGAAGGGAATTGCACAGCAGGTCCACACCTGGTGGGGGGCCCATCACTCGTGCCCATGCTGGGCAGTGTAACTGAGATGGGCAGCTACTGACACACTTCTTAGGAGAGGTGATGCAACACAAAAACTGCCACCTGCAGCTGAAGCAAAAATAGTCAACCCTGTGCACTTCATTTCTGACTCTCGCCAGCATGGGACTGACATGGGCTGCCAGGGGGGTGAATTCCCTGCTGGGAACTGCAGCTCATGGCCAGGAGTGCAACTGATATCAAAACGGTTCATCGGAACGGGCTCATGTTCAAATGTGGTTGGCTGACAACAAGATTTCTCTCTCAGAGTCGAAACCAGGGATACTCCAGTGGTTGCAAGCAATTATTGTAAAAACTCCCTTTCCTGCTGTCTCATCCTAATGACAGAGCTGTCGCCAGGGCACAAGCTCTGGCCAATAGCTTGGGTGTGAGGACCTACAGCAGGACTAAGACCAGAGGCTCACGGGAAGATGCCCTGCAGCTGAGTACTGGCTCTGGGTCTGTAGTGCCAGCCTCCGTGTGCGAGATCAGCATTGGAAAGGCATCATTCAGTGGGGAAAAAAATCAGCTTTTCCTCCTAGACAAAATGAGGATGAAGCGCAGGACACAGTAGAACATCATCGTCCTCATTTTTGCCTTTCAGGGAGCTGCTTTCTTATCATCTGCTTTTAGTTGCCACTAATAAGAAAACTGTATATCTCATCCGGGACTGTGCAATCTCAAATGACTCTGCTGTTTCCAAAACCACATGTCATTGACAGCTGTGTTTCTGGTCCAGAAAAATATCAACATCTACCCTCAATACTTCGAACTAAACCCTAACATAATCCTGAAATCACCTGAATTGCAGTCAGTTTACCTTCCTGCTTCTTTCTTTTTTTTTTTTTAAACAATCTCTAACTCCAAAAGAATTAAAATATATTTGTAGTGATAGCAAGGTGAGTGGGCATTTTACTTTATTCTCCTTTTTTATTCTCCCAAATACCTGAATTATCGTGTGGAGTTGTCAGAATCTCTGCTTCAAAGTTCATGCTGGGGAAACTATTCCTGTAAGGAAAGTATAGCACTTCAGTTATTTGAAGAACCTGTATGTTTTTTTTTGAAGCTGCATTGAAAATGCAGAACAAAGGGAAGATGCTCCAGGACAGATTTTTTTCTCCTGATAATCAATGATTTGTTCTTTTTTTACTAAAGGAAGTCAAAACTTCTTTGTTAGCTGATCATAGAGTCATAGAATCCTAGAATATTTTGGATGGAAAGGGACCTTAAAGCTCAGTTTGTACCAACCCCCCTGCCATGGGCAGGGACACCTTTCACTAGACCAGGTTGCTCCAAGCCCCATCCAACCTAGCCTTGGACACTTCCAGGGAGGGGGCATCCAGAACTGGTCGCCTGCACCAGTGTTTGTCTGTGTTGTGGAAGTTTTTGTACCCCAGCAAAATCATTAACCAGTCAATGCAGTTGAAGGCATTAGACTGATATTACATACCCTGTGAAACCTTGAGTCATGGATGAAATAAAAGAAAGAGCAGTGAAATTAGGAGAAGGTTATAGTGAGCATCAGCATCCAAAGTGCTAAAATATCTGCTTGCCTGTTGTTTCAGGGACCCTTTTTGCTTTGCTTTTTTTGCCTTTTTGTTTGGTTTGTTTTTTTCTTTTGTTTTGTTTTTTTTACTTCGGATTTTCCTGGCTGCAAATATTACATCAGGTAACTTGCAGAAGATATTTGTTCAAAGGACAAAAGTCAAAGAGGGCATTTGGCCATAAATATTTTCATTCAGTTACATGTTTTCACTCTTAGTTTTCGGGAGCTTTTTTTTTTGTGAAAACCTCCAGCAATAGAGTCACATCTTCTTTCCTTTTAAAACATGCCTCATCTATAATACAGGGATGAGGTGCCACTGGAAAAAAAGAAGGGAGGAAATTAAACTGGAGCAAGGACCTTGCTTCTGCAAGTAAAGTGTTGGGCTGATCTGTCTATGCAAAGGGAATAGTCATCTCCTGGGTAACCACATTTCAGCATCAAGATGCACAGCAAGACTTAAGGGTGATATTCCTGTATAACCTCTGTATAACCTAACGCATCACTGCTCCCAAAACCCACAACTCTCTTCTGCCATGGAAAAAAATTCCATGTGAAGAAGAAACAAGATAGGAGGAAAAGTGAAGAAGGGAGTCTTGTGGTGGGGCTTTGAGGTGCAAATATGTAACAATTTGCTGGCAGGTAGCAAAGAAGTGGCCACAGGTGCAAATAGCACACCGCTTTGGTCGATGAAGGCAAGAAAGGACTGAGATGTCCCAGAAGTCTTGGAGTTGTTGGGGCACTGCCAGAGTCCTGCGAGAGCAGTTGATTTCATCTGAGTTCAGTACCAAAGTCATGTAATTGTCTCCTGTGAGAAACTTCAAAGGTCTCGGTTTCACCACCCTGACCTCACCTCTCCTCTCCTCAGGAAAGGCCTCATGGAAGTTCAGCAGGAACAAGCCTGAACTCAGCCCACCTCCATAAGCTCCAGCTTGGCTGCAGGCCAGTCCCTCCAATTTCCACTCTACCCTCTTCCATCTCTGCCTGCCAATACAGAGGACTGTTTTGTCCCCTCAGCTGACTCGACCCAGCAAGATGGTTTTCAGAACAAATGTCCCACTAAAATGCTGAGGGATAGCATGGCTTCCCCTGTTCCCCTGGCTTCCCTAGAGGAACAGTTCTGGGTATGAGCTCCATTTCTGACCGGTCAAATGTTTCCAGCCATGCCAGGAGACCTGCCAGGTGACCTGGGCAGAGTGCAGCACAGGAATTCACCAGGACGGATGACACCAAGATAACTCTTCCACTGACACTTTTGCCATTTCTCCCCAGGCAGGGGTTAGATTCTAAGAATGATTAAAGCTTGTTGGTGGCAAGGTAAAATGGGAACAAATAGATTTCCTCTAAAATCTGGCTTAAAATCTAGATCCTAAAATTTGAATACATCATTTTGGGCTGGTGCTGCCCACACCAAGGCCCCAAGGCCCACAGCAGGACGGAGCTGGTGACTGCCAGGGAGTGGGATGCTCACAGGCTGCTGGTCCTGTCACAGGTCCCAGCTAAGATGGAGCTTGTATTAGCAAGGTTAAACCTCTTCCCTCCACGAACCAAGCAGGATGTACTATGGACTGCAAGTGCAGGGCACAGAAGGAATTCACAGTGTTGCTTTAAATGATGCAGCCCCTTTAAGTTAAAGAAGTTTTTTCTAGGAACACAAATTGCAAGAATATCTTCATAACTCATATACATTTAATTATACCTAAACTTAGGCTGTGGAGGGGCTAAAAGTCTCCCTTAGCCCCTTTCCCTCCCAGGACACGGGCACATCCTCTGCCACTCCCACCTTACACACACCCATCTGTGACACAGAAACAGCGGCATGTTGGGGAAACACTATCCCGCTCCCTGCCAAAACCCACTCACCTCTTCGCCTCCGGGGCCGCGTCCATTGTCGGGGTGGATGCTGTCCAGGGACACAGGAGTTGGACTTTGATGATCCTCGTGGGTCCCTTTCAGCTCAGAATACTCTGTGCTTCTGTGACACAGCAGCTGGGCACGGGGCCGGGGGTCAGCCCCTAGGGCAGCATGTCCACCTGCCGCCCGCGCCGCGCCGGACGCTCAAACCCCGCGGCGCTGGGGGCGACCCGGGAGCGCGGCCGCGGCTCTGCTGGCACCTGTCGGGACAGGCAGCGTCACTGGGGCGAGGGGGGGAAACCCGAGCCCCGCGGGGAAGGAGCGGGGGGCCGGGGCGGGCAGTGAGCGGGGCCCGGCGTCCGCAGGGATGTCCTCATGGCGCGGGGGCTGCGCTGCGGTCAGGGGGAGAGAAACAAAAAAAGGGACACATTGAGACTTCCAAACCTTTAAAGCCTGTGTGGAAGTGGCTGAGGAGTGTCCGGACGGACGGGAGGCTATTTGCGTTCACTTTTTAATGTGCTGTGAAACCTTCCTCCGTGCTCACCGCCCTGGGCAGAAAGGGACTCTTTCCTGCATCCTTGCCGCGCTGCTGCCTGATAGATGGGGCATGCACTGAGAGATCCCTGTCTTCTCCAGGGACAAGAGCAGCTCTGACTGCCCAGAGACCTGAGCAAGTGATTTTTCCATCTCTGATTCAGGGGGAAATGGGGCATAATGGCAGCACCTCTTGCGAGCACTGCAGCCCCCCAGTAGGGCAGCCCGGCACATCCCCGGTCGTGCCCCACGAAGGGAATGGGGGTGGGCGGGCAGCCAGGACGGGGGGCAGCGAGCCCAGCCTGCTCCCTCTCTGCTTGCTAAACCGCAGGGATTAGAAGGCAAGAAAGCATTTTTTGGGACAGCTGTCCAAGCCAGAGGTGGCTGGAGGTTCCCAGGAGAGGCTAACACAGCAGAAGGTGCAGTGGTCGCTGTTCCAAATACAGGAAATCCTGAGTGTCCCCTGCACCCTGCATCAGCTTTTCCCCTGCCCACATCCACAGGACTGATGCTCCTTTTGCCTAAAATCTAGTAACACAAATGTAAAAAAAAGAAAGGATTTAATGACTTTCTATTTCCAAGTGAAGTCTGCTTGTGCAAAGAGCAGCATTAGGACCCTCTCCACTCCCTTCCCCTGAGGGCAATGAGTAGAACGGATTTAGCAAATGACAGATAAAGCCTCATCCCTTGCTGAGCTACCCAAAACACTGCCTGCCCCACACAGATCCCTGAGACCAGGGACCTCAAGTGGAGAGGCTTCACCATCAAGTGACCTGCCTTGACTTAGACTAGATTTGGCTTCCAAATGGATTCAAGTTATCTGCTGCAAGGCAGGTCCACAGCAGCACATTAAGCCAGAAATGACTGCATTGCTACTCCTAACCAAAATATTCCAAATATTTATTGAAATATTTTGTATAGATGAGGAAAGACAAGAACCTCTTTGCTAGATCTAAAGCACAGATTTGGCTCCATTTGAGCACCTGAGCAGTGATTTTTACATCAGTCAATTCAATCCCTAAACATTCCTACCAGAGGTGCCAGCCCCTGTGCACACCAACTGTGCACCAGTGGATGCACCTGGAATATCTCAGCTGCCTCATGACCCCCAGCCACCTCTTCCTTGTCCCAGCTAAGTTACCCCTCCATTCCCCCATGACAACGCCAGGGCTGGACACCCCGCAGGTCCCGGCAGGAAGCCATACCTCCCCGGAGCAACAGGAGCTGTTGAGAAATCTCCAGCATCCAGGAGCTGTGCAGCCCTTGGAAACCTCCTTGTACATCCAGGGGGTACCGATACCCCTCCGTGTCCCCTTGTGTCCCTCCCAGCTCCAGGATCCCACGTAGGCGCATGCCACAACTGAGCCGGCATTAGCCTACAACAACAGCCTTTGTTCCCCAGCGCTGGAAACAACGGGACATTGTGGGCAGCTGCCCTGGCCGGCAGAAATTGGCAGCAGGGTGGCTTTGGAGGATGTACCCTCTGCAAGCCGTGTTTTCGGGTGTTCTGGCAAGCTCGTGACTAAATCCTCTCTGAACTCAGTTTTCCGTGCAAATCGAAAAAGCTGGTGTTTGATCAGTGAGGTGATGGCTAAAGCTAAAGCTGGGCTGTAGGGAGAGAAAAACAAAGAAACTGTGTTTATCCCCACACACTGCGGCTGCAGAGGTCAGTTTTGGGCTGATGCAGCAGAAATAGGTCATTCACTTTCCCCAGGGCAAGCCATGCCTGAGGCTGGTATTACCCACGGCCCCGAGCTCCCTCGGTGTTCCATCTCCATCATCCCATCATGACAAGCTTGGAACCTGTGTCTCCAGGCAGAAAAGCCTGGATATTCAGAAATCAAATTTCAATGACTTTATCTTCTAAATAGTGATCAGCTTTTAGGCTGATGAATGTCAGGAAGGTCCTTGGCATTTTTACAGAATGTCCATGGAAACGAGGTTGGAACTAGATGGTCTTTAAGGTCCCTTCCAACCCAAACCACTCTGTAACTCTATGATTAGTAGTTTATTTTTTGAGACCCTTTCAGCTCCACCTAGGGCAACTGATTAAGGCTCACGTAGTTTTTTTGTGTAACTGATTTTCTTGTGAGAGGTCTCCTCTTCTGCAGCAGTTTTTCCTTTTTCAATGAAAGTGTTTTCATCGCTACATATTTTCAGTTTTTCTAGATGTATCTCCCAAGATACATCCAGCAGTTTCTGTACTCTCCAAAGTGAAATATTTGGTGCAAACATGTTGTTCTGCACTAAGCAAGTTCCAGTAAATAGAACGATAACCAGCAATTTTGTAGCACTCATTTTCCTGTAGTTAAAGAAAAGATTTCTCATTAAAGGAGAAGACTTTTTTGCTTTAATCCTATTAAATATTTAACATCTGGAAAGCAGTAGGTCTTGGAGTTTGAGCAACAGTATTTGGTTTTTATATGTGTGTACAGGATATTTTCCTATAGGAAAAAGAATATGATTTCTGATAAATACTGAAAAAAACAACATCACAGAAACAGAACCCATCCCTCTGTGGGAGTAAGAGCTGCTGGGCTCCAGTCATGTTTGTATTCAACCTCCCAAAGAACCCAAGGTTTCTAGGTCTGAAGATCAATTATTTTTTTTAACACAACCCTTCTTGCCTTTTCATTAAAGCCTGGGTGCTGGTTCAGTTCTTCCAGACCTTTTAAAACAACCCTTCTCAAACCATTTGACTAGAGGTCATAACTCATGTAGTTGTAATTACAGAGCCAAGGAGAGGGCAAAGGGACCAGAGTCTGATGTGGCTGCCTGCAGAAAAGGCTCTTTTATTCAAGGTGAAGACCAGCTTTGCTCTACAGACTATACAGTATTCAAAAAAAAAATATCTCTGAGAGCAAAGGTAGGTATGGTAAAATGTGCCTTTTACCCCTCAAGAGCTCATGCGATTTCAGCCAGGAAAACACACTCAGAATTCAAATTTCCCTGTAGCTGCCAATAACATGTGCTGGAAGTGCAGCCTCAGCAGGATTAAACACTTCCAACATGTACAGTGTTCCAAAACAGGGGTATCTGCAAACCCTGCTGTACCAAAATATAAGAAGTTGCCAGCGAAAGATTTTGTCCCTGACTCAAAGTCAGTAGTGCAAGTAGTAAGGTCTGGAGACTGGTCCTTGAGAAGTTTTTCTGGTTCAAGAGAATGGACGAAGGGGAACAGGGGATTTTTTTTGTAAGAAGGCTGTGAAAAAGGACCCTCACAAGGCTGGGATGGCTGAGGAGGTACCTGCAGGGAGCTCAGTGCCACAGGAGGTTGGCTTTATGTTAAGGTTTCTGAGCAGTGCTGGTGTGCTAATTTGTTGCTCCTGTGCTTTGGTAGGGTTCACCCACCAGCCTATAACTAGAAGCAATAAGTCTGCAGGTGCAGGAATTACAACTGGGCAGTTTGGAGTAATCCCAGCATGTCACAAAGTGATGTAAACTGCTGCAGACCCAGGGACCCACCAGTGCTCTGCTCCCCTATGGGCCATAAAGAAGTCAGAGAGCAGGCAACACAAAAGAAGCACTGAATTATTGTGACTGATTACATTTCAATTGCACCTGAAATGAAAGATCAGAATTTAAATTCTTTTTACTTACCTCCTCTTGAAGAAAGGCTGGGCCCAGCCATCACGGCAGAAGTGACACCGCACCACCTCCGAAGGGAAAGGGCCTGAACACTTGGAGCAGCCAAAGTACCCCAGGAGAAGCCACCCTGCCAGGCAAAAGTCTGTTACAAAACTGGAATATTTCCTGGAAAGTAAATAAGATGATGAGTCACCTTTTCTCTGTGTAAGCATAGAGAGTAAGAGGTGGGAGAGCAGGTGTGAATCCAATGGGAGATGCTCACCTTTCACAGAAGTTTTGGCTGCTCTTCTGTGATTCTGGTCTCTTCCAGTCTTAAAAAGAGTATGCTTAACTAAACTAGCATTTCTTTGTAAGTTGGGTTAAAGTTTCCTTTCTGCCATCTCTCAAACCTGAGGAATATTTATAAAAATAGATCAAACCAAGCAGCTTTGGCTAATCAAGTTCAGCAACATGCATGTCTATCATTCAGCAGATTGCGGTAACAAAGGAGAGCATGTCAAAACGAAGGGACTACAGATTTATTTTACCAAAAGCCACTAGATGGGGATATGAGGACGTTTTTCTGATCTCTGCTACACACGGATCCCGTTATGCTGAGTTCGAGCTGGCCTTTCCCGCTCACATGGGCTGCCGTTGTCTTTGCTTTTTGTTTTTAGGAGCTGACAGAGGTCATTTGGAAATGTATCACTCCCTGAGTTCTCATCCTATAAGGAATCAGGCCTCAGGCAGCCGATACAGTGTGATTATTGCTTGATGAATATTATTCTCTGCACCAAGACTCAGCAGAGGGAAGAGTGGAGGATTTGGCTTTCAGTTTGTGGATTAGTCTTCTTTTATAGGCTGTGGAAAGGAAAAGCACTTTATATTGAACACAGTGGGGAGAAAAAAGTGTATTCAGCAAGCTGGTAATCTCTGAAAATGTCCATACTTTGGAATGATTACTGTGGAAAAAAGCCAGGAGATTTCCTCAGGCTCAATAGTCAAACCTCTGGGTATTTTTTTTTGCTTTTTTTTTTAGTTTCTCCTCCTTTGAAAGCCCTAGTTCTCCTATGAATAAGAGAGATAAAGTCAGGAAAATTGGTTTGGCGGAGGTGTAGGCAGGATCAACCCTGCTCTCCAGGGCAGAAGCACTCCACAGATGTATACCACGAGCACATATAGGCTGCAGGAGTTCGTGCAATGCATAAGCAATGCTATGGGAGTAGGGAATGAGGAGGGCTCCAGTCATACAGTAAATGTCAGCTCTGACCTCCAGTAACCTTGGGCTTCTGCAGTGACCATCCACTCTTACTATTTTACCTTAAGTATCAAGATATTTGGTGCTTATATTAATTCCCTGCTCTTGCAGTCAGGTGAATGTAAAAAAAACCCTCTTCTAGCAAACTTTTAACAGTAAAATTCCAGATTCAGAGGCATGTTAAGGCACCCAAAACACACTCCAGGGTTCAAAACACAGAAGATGCTTTGAAAGAAATACAAAAATTATTAATTTTAAAGCAATTTAATGAAACTTTCAGTGGTTGGCAAGGGAGAGAGAGTGGGTGTCAGGGTGTCTTGGTGAGTCTGAGAAAAAAAGCTCTGGTAAATACCCTAAAAGAAAACTAAGTTTTTATCATATTAAATTCAGAAGACTGGGACAACCATTCAAATGTTTAAATGACTAAATATCTTTCCTACTCCATATACTTGAAACATGGAGCTAATGCTGCCAGTTCATGGCAATCCATGTTTTAAGGGTTGGGAGGGCAGAGGCAGTGGGGACTGTTTGGTGGGTTCAATTGCATCTCCACTAATTGCTGAAAACTGATTGCTATATTTCATTAAACATAAACAGAAGTGCAGTTGCTTTTCCTGAGTGAGAGGGTAGAGGGGTTGAAGGAGCACTGGGATGGCAGCAGTGGCTTTGTCCCTGCACACTCTCACTGTTGGACACCACAGGCACCAGCCTGGAGCCCATCAGGTGCACACCTTCCCCACCAGAGTGTTCCCAGCAGCTCAGCAGGTACTGCAGAATCCATCTATTTTTCTTCTGTGTTTTTTTTCTCACTGCTTAGTAGTTTCCTCATGGTGACAACAAAATGTCTGTTTTCCAGGAAACCATTTGAGCTTTATGGATTAGCCATGGTAGGCACTTGCAGACCTCCATAAAGCACGTTGACACACTCTCTGGTGTATTACTTACTCGACTGAAAAATTGATCAAAACTGATAGAGTTACAGGGCCTGCGTCCCTTTACAATCTGCTGTTGTGCCACTCGGCTCCTACAGAGCCAGCAAAGCCAAACCCTGGGAAAACCTTTGCCTGGAAAATATACCTTTGTCCTGCCCTTGGCTTTGCACCATGGCAAGAACCACACACCTGAAGCTGATGATGTGCAGGATGTGCCCACCCCCAATTGCTGCTGCTCCCCCTGGCATTGCAGGTATCCCCAAAATGCAGCAGCAAGTGCCTGCAGGGCCCTGTCCTGCCACGGGACACTGACAACATCTGCAGTGTGCTCAAGGCTGGCATGTTCTTGCCCCAGTGTGGGCATGGCCTCAGGTGCCTCCTGCATGCCCTGTCCTATCTGCTCCAGCAGCAGCTCTTAGGAGAGACTGCTTAAACTACAGGAATATTTAGCAAACTCAGTAAATGTGGGCATAGGTCTGCTGTAGAAGATGGCACGCCATGCAGCAGAGGAGCTGCTGATCTCTTCTGCAGGACCTCAGCAAAG